GCGTGCGAGCCAGGCGGTGAGGCGGCGACCGAGCGGCGACGGAGGACGACGGCTGCGGCGGCGGCGGCGGCGGCGGCGGCGACGACGACGACGACGACGGATGGATCGCGGCCGACCGACCGGTAAGCACGCCCGAACTGGACTGACGGACGGACGGGGGGGGGGGGGGGACGGCGGTGGTGACGCGCGCGCGCCTTTTCCTCGCCGCCGCCCGCGGCCGACGTTGGCGTTCGGCGGAGGAGGGGGGGACGTGGCTCACCGGTGGGCGTGTCCCGGTCCGTGTCCAATGAATGACGAATGCGCCGGTGCGCGACGACGGCGGCGGCGGCGAAGGAAAACCCACCGCCGCCGCCCGCGGAAAATGAAAGAAAATATTAATTTCCGGCCGCCGCCGTCGCGCAGTTATTATAAACGCGTCACGTCGGCTCCGCCGCGTTTCTCCGCCGGAACACGTTTCACCCGCGCACGACGAATCCGTCGCGACAATAACGTCACACTGCTCCATCGTGTTATTATTACGCCCACGTGAGAATCCGACACGAAAGTTATTTTTTGAAACAATGCGAATACAATAGTTTTAGCTATCGTTTCGCGATTTCTCGCAGTTGTACGAAGTCTGATCGAACACGACCGTTACGGCGTTCACGAGCCTCGTCAACGGTTTATACGTTTTCCGATCGTGCACACAGATCGGTTTTCGCTAAATGGCTCTCCTTTTCTACAACTTTTTACCCCGTTTGGCTTTTATTTCGATCGGTCGACAGAAGTGTTGTTTTTCAATTTTCTATCTCCGCTATTTAGTGTTTTTCATATAGTTTTTATCTATTATCCCAGTACAGTTATTCAAACGCGATAACGTTTATTTGTTGTTATTCGATTACTCTACATTGTGTAAAACCATTAAAAAAAAAAAAAAAAAGCAACATTTCATAGCAATGGTATAAAAATGTGCAGAAATAGAGCTGTTTATTTTTTTTTTTTTTTTCATGCCGCCACGCATTAGTAATTTGTGCATGAAATGTAATCTACGATGTATATAATGTATTTGTTTTCGATTTCGATGGAAATTGTAAGATTCAATAATAATAAACTATATGATTTATAAAAATTCGGTTGTATGATAATTGTATTATAAAATATTTTATAAATATTGCAGTACTTATATATACTACTAAAATACTTATAGGCTTTCTATAAATAGTTATTTCATTCAGTAATAGTAAGTTTCAAAACGTTATTTTTTTGGTAGTTTCTACTTTCAATACTGCTACATTCTAATTACATAGATTTCATTTAATAACATTTCTTATTATAATATCGATTATTTATGATCTGCACTTCTATAGTCAATCGTAACTGTTCTACCATCACAGTGTGGGTTTGCACGAACATTTAGAACATTTTGTTTTTTTTTTTCCATTACAAACCGTCCTTTCATTTTTACCAAATATTTTAGAATAACAAATTGTATTCGATTGCAAAACAACGTCAGTTCAAATACGGGCTCTTTACTCAAAGGTCTTAGGGCCCCCGTTTACAAGATTTCGAGGGGTGCCCAAGCACGACTGTGCACTCCTGGTTTCTGTCTACACACTAAGTGTCGAAGTTCGCTTAAAATATGATCCTGGATTAAGATGGCAGTGCAGTTGCACAACAATACACGCGATAATATACGCTATTATCGTTACAGAGAGTTATGAATTATAATAGAATATCGAATACTGCGTAGAACTTGCGTATTGCATTGTTGTGATTGGTCGTTAGGTCGGCGGTCCGTGTAGACGGTATTTCTAACGGATTTAGATTAGAGTTGCTAAATACGTACGACAGTGATTCCAATCCGTCACGTTTCTGACGTGAAAACATGCCAGAGAACGTTGCGTACTCGTATGCTTTTACGAACGCAACCGGAGCTCTTATGTTTACGCGTATCATTTCGGGACGCGCTTGAGCTATTAAATAGTTTCAATTCCGATGCGACCGGACGCGCACAGTGGACCCCCCTGTCTTCACCACTACCCCTACGCGCAGAATGAAAAAACAGGCGAAAAATATCATAGAAATTTTTAGCCTTTACATTAATCGTTAAGTTAATGTGGACGATTCGTTCTTATCTCAATATATTATCTATAACCGATAAAATCAATTTTTTTACTGTTTTTGACCCAAGGCATATTATCGATTTAATCGGATAAATGTATGTACATAAATATAAATGTTGTATTGTTGGTTTTTCTTTTATAAATTAAGCTTCGTGTGGCCAGGACGTCCGCAAATAATGCCAACTCTTCGGTATTGCTAGGATATACATCTATGGCAGTGGAGAAAATATTTTAGAGCACTGTCGATAGTTTTATGTTTGATGATAATACAGTCGTGAGCCTTACCTCTTATAGTAATTTATTAATCATTATGTAACTGTGTATATATTTACTATACGACAATATAATAATATATATTATAATATATATATATGAACGAACAATAACACTTCGAATTTTAGTATTTTAAAAGGCGTGAAAAAATAAAAAATACTTCAAACGAATAAAATCGTTTGATTAATACATAGCGTTTTACACATACACCACATCGATTTACTTTACACTACATTATATTCACACGTTTCACCTACATATATTTATATACACTCGTGTGCGATCGAAATTATCCAACCACTTCAAATAGAATTGTTCTGAAATTGTTTTATTATTCTCGTGTGAATTTTATGTTCATTTGTATAGTGTACTATATATAAGCGTATAAGTATAATATAATGTATATTAAACATATTCTACACGTGTAATTAAAAATAGTATTTACCTGCGTATATTTTGTGTACATAAAATACTGAGAAGTGAAGAACCTGAAAGGACGATTTGTGCCGATATAACACGGTTCAATCGTGCTTGAGTCCTACATGTGTGTCCGATTATTCAAATTTCAAATACACGTATGCATATAATAAGTTACCTAACGTTGTATACATTATTTGCACAACGAAACCATAAAGTACTCTACTCCTGGCAGGTGTTAGTATAAAATTAATAGTGATAAAATAAAAAATACATATAACTGTTTTAAAAATGTATATCAAATGTTCAAAATATGTAAATTTGCTCGGTAATTCAAAATAATGTTTACCTCGTGTAGTCTTCAAATAAAATGAATACCGTTCAGTACCTACGGTGTTCCGATATCTCTCACTACGGCCAACCGACTAAACGTTTCAATGCTGATAAATATACGAACGTTTTCGTATACATGCATAATTACAATACTATAGTTATTATAATAATACAATGTCATTCATAGAAAATATAATTGAAACAGTATTTTTCTTCAACACGCAGTATACATAAACTTCATTATTAACTATATTACGTTACAAAACCATTGAATCGATCAACGATTAATTTTTTTTCTTTCGGTGTGACCCGCTTTGGCATTGTTATGCTTATACACATCCATTTTTTATAAATTTCTGAGAAAAATATACGAAATTCGAGAAAAACATTTTCATTAATATCACGATATCAAATAAAAAACTACAGTTCAATTGTTTTCACACGATGGTTTAACAAACCTATGCGTACAGCATTAAAACATAATATGTAACTATACATGAATAATTTAAATTCCGTTATTAATTATTATTAGGTATTATTATTAAAAATCTAACCATCGCAATTCGCAGACATAAATTAATGCTGGTATAATGTATGTATAATATAGCTTTTATCATCAAAAATTGCATCTAATTTATTACAATAGATAATAACTAATTGTGGGTTACGTTTTCCTTAATTTCACAACTTACACTAGTTACACCTAAAATAAATATATGAAACCAATTATAGTTAAAATTATTTGTATTTACGAATTTTCGACGTTTTAAAAAAAAATGTTATATTACATTTTGTGACCCTCAACTATATAATTACATATAAACAAAATATAATTGAATAAATAAAATTAATATTTACGAAGATATATTTTTATCGGGGTAATATGTAAATGTTGATACGTTATTATCGTTTATTATTATCGAAATATTTGTAGGTACCTACTCCAGTACTCGTTAAAAATAAATAAATTTATGTTGGTTGTACATGCATATAACCAATTTATTAAACGAGCAAACGCATTGATGTTCATTAATAATTACTATTGTACAAACTTACCCCTATCCAAGCTTATATAACTTTTGAAATAGTTACCTATTTTATTTCGATTTAAATAAACACCAGTGAACATTGGCGCGCGCACGAAATATTTTAAACGCGGCCTTATAATTTAAGCTTTGGAGTAATGATATTTCGTAATAGAAAAAATGAAACAAAAACTCATTATGATAACGTAACACAGATTACAAAAAAACAAATCATAAATAATTCAAGATACCCGAGAAAAACATACGGGATTCAATGAAAACATATTCATTGAGACAAATCATACCACAGTATCAAATCAAGTTTATTTCAAAACAGTACAGGCCGAAGTCCAAGACAAGAAACTGAGTGAAAATAATAACAGCATAGTAATAATAAATCATGTTTATTTAACCATTTATGCATTGTAATTTATTAAATATTCG